ACATATTTCAATCGCTTTTAAAGGACTTCCGTCTTAAGTTTCAGCCCTTCTGCGACCCCAAAAAATGACTACTGAAAACGAGGACACATTTCACTTATCTTTCACTTTACACGCAACATCAACTAGTCGACTTGTCTCGCGCTGTATCTGCCGGCAGAAAAAAATAACGAAGGAAAACTGGGAAATATTTGTTTATCTCAACGTATCTAACTATGTTAGGCTACATATGGCTGCATTTCCTGCTCTCCACTCCAAAGTCGACCTCGGGCGAATTTGAAACCGAAAATGGCGAAATATGTATGCGAATCCTTGGCTCGCCTCCGGCGTGTTGTTTTTCTGTCCTGGCTTTGATTTTGATTTATGTTGCAGTAAACACAGCCAGCCGAAAGCAGGAGAAATGGCAGCGGCAACCTCATTTGCTACTTACTTTGTCGCATCATTTCACCATAGACGCCACGCCCAACCTCCTCGTAGAACCTCAGTTAGACAACGCATGCCAACGCACGGAAGTTGTGATTTTTTTGTCCCTGATTTGGTTGTTGTTCCGCAGGAATCTCTCCGGCGACAGAGCAAATGCTCGCCTTCCCTCGAAAGCTTCTCACATAATTGTGGTGACGGTCGGCGGTGGTGGTGTAAAAAGCCAACAGAAAAGGCCGTCCTGGTTCTCGGTTTCAGCGGTTTTATTTTTTTGTGTTCTTTTTAATACAATTTAAACACTTTCACATCATCAGTTCACTATTCTAATCTGATATTCAAATTAAAATTTAATTTGCTTTAGGTATGTGAGCCGAACTATTTACTTGAGAATATTTTTAAATACAGGAATCATTCGAAATTCGTAAAATGTTTACTGAATGTACTTGAACAAGTTAAAGAATTTTTATTTTTATTGATTTAGGTGCGGCTAATAAACTTTAAAACAAATATAAAAAATACATCTCAGTTCCAAATTGATTTTATTAAAAATCACACACAAAAACTGCACTTTCAAAATTAGTTTTGTAAATACAAAATACAAAAATGTCTTAATTATTTTTAACAACTAGAGATTTAGAGATTTCCAGAACATCCTGGAATGAGTCATTTTGGCAGACGCATTGTGAGTGTTTACGCTTTATAAAATGCAACATTTTCGGCGATGGCAGCATTAGAATTCAGCCTGGCAGTTGGCAAGGCGACAAACTTGCTTTTAGCCCAACTCGAAGCTTTGGGCAATAAGACGCGTAACGCTTTGTTTGACTTGAATTTATGGTGATGTTTCTTTTTTACTTCAGTGCTTTTTTTGGCAAAACTCCCAGCCTCCCAGCCTCCCAGCTGACTCATGGCAAAGTGCCTGAGCCGGCAGACAGTGTCTGGTTTGTCTGGCACTTGTTCCAGAAATGTTTTAATTCCTCTGGCTCGACACAATAATTTACACACTCTTGCTGGCTGCTTGGCCATAAAATCCTTGTTTGACTTGCATTCCGGCCAATAATTATGTTTGCACATTTTATGTAGTCCCCCCTATTAAAATTTATATGACAATTCGTTAGTTTGTTTGCTCTGTCATAATAATTCATTGCGTTGTACATGATATTTTATTGCTGAAGTGCCTCATGTCGATGAGTGGAATTCCATAGTAGTTTGGTTTTTTTGGTGTTGTTTTATGAATTCTTTCTTTTGGTTTTAACATATGCCCATCAAAGTTGATTGGATACTTTTTGGCTGCTGCGCGAGTTTATGGGGTAAGTCTGCCGCAAAGCACGTAATAAAATGTGCCATTCCGCGATGACTTTGTACTTTTTACGATTTATCAATATTTCTCGATCATATTTTTAGTGTCCATTTTTTATGTTATATATTTTTAAACAAAGCTACAATTTTTGGGAGTTAAGTTAGCACGTTGTATCTAGAAAAAGTGTTAAATAGCTAACATAAGTTCTTGAAAAATGCCAATTTTTGCTAGCATTGCTTTATTATTATCAAGCTTCAAAAATATTATATAATCCCTGGCCAATAAGAAGCTTAAAAAGCTTTCGACCTTCCCAAATAACTAATTGCGTTATTAACAACTTACATGAAAGGGCAGCTTAAGAGCTTTAAATTTAAAAAATATCCGAAACAGAAATCATACAACTGAAAACTAGAAAACCACCAAGGAATAGCCATAGCCAGCAGCTTGAAAGAGAAAATGTGGTTAAATCCAAAGAGAATTTTCCATTAACACACGTGTGCTGAAGTCGAAGACCACATTGCAACAAAAAGAATTTGAAGCTCGGTTTGGGAATCTCAGTCTGAGTTAAGTTGGCATGAGGGTTGCGTTGCGTTTTGGGGTTGAGGGGGAAAAGTCAGCATCACAAACTGACTGACAAAACCTCAACGTGCCACTAAAAGCATAATCATGCACTTAACTAAAGCCCAGTCAAAGGATGTTGTAACCGCGTGTGAGGCAGGATGTTTCGGGTGTTGAGGTAAAGCACGTAGAACTTAAGTCATCATCATATAAATAAAAATTTATGACTTTAAATGTGTTTGTGCGTGAGTTTGTTTGTTTGTGTGCCCTGTGGTTACTGCAGTGCGGTGGAAGTCCCAAGTCATGGTTTATCACCGGTGCGGAGTTCCCTCTTTGAAAGGAGGGGGTCATGACGACATGCGTGACTTTATTTGCACTTGCAGCAGCTGAAAGGGTTATTTAAAAGTGGTGTGGTATCCGGTAGAAGTTTATTTAAGGGAGTACAGAGTTTTTGAGTAACGCTGAAAGTTATTCTGTCTTTCCTAACACCCTTAACTATTTTACTACATTTTTAAAAACCTATTTAAACAAACGCGGGTGCTACAGAAATCACAAGGGTTTACTTATAATTAACTTGTTTTAATTGATATATATTTTTAATGTAGGGGGAGCTTGAATGGTCTTTATAGGACAGTCTAGATACACTTTTTCTATTTATATTTTTATTTATATAGTTTTCTCTTAATATTGTTGACAGTAGAGTAAGAAAACTGAAGCTAAGTGTCCATTCACCCAAATGCTTATCTAGAATACAATACCCTTTTCAGCTTTGTCGTCGTTGATGACCTCTTAAGTGCTTCCAATCACACATAATATTCAGGGCAAACATCTTGCGAGTTTCTTCACAATTATAACAACAGACGGCTTTTACTTTCTCCTACTTAGACGTATCACCGAATGTAAATTTCGGTGCCATGAGGGGCTTGATAATGCGAGAATCTAACAACAGAAAGCCGCTTGCCCGGCTACTTTTCAAGTTAAAGTTATTATCCTGGGGGCGGAGCCACTTGCAGGACTGGGCCCCGCCCTCGTGCCAGACTTGACAAGACTCGGCAGACTTTTGAATAAATTTTCAATCTCCGGGACAACGAGTCGGTCGGCGAAGGGCAGACAGGGTAGAAAGGGAAGAAAATCAGCATTATGAATATGTAGCTACATCTTCTTAAATGTATCTGCTTGTTGTTCGTGTTGTTGGCTAAGTGAAAAGCCAAAGCTGAGTTGCGCCTGCAACATTTTTAGAAGCCGCTTTACTTTCCCTCTAAGGCGGCAACTTTATTAAGTTCTTTTTTTTTGTGTGTGGGACCAGCGAAAACTTTCTTAGCTGCAGCCACCAATGAAAAAAAAATTACTATACAAAATAACAAAAATGGAAAGTTCTCTGGCTTTCGTCTTCTTGCAAGTCTTTTTTGGCTTGTCGTTGCCTGTTAAATGCTTTTAGCCGCTTTTTGTTGAGAACTTTGGCCAGAAGTTACACTCCAAATGGTAAACGATTTTCGTACTACGCCGAAATATGATTTAACTTAAGCTGATTTCGTGATGGGGAATTTGAAATAATTAAGCCACTAAACAGCTGATAACAAATCCCCAATTAAACCGAGGACAATTAATTTTAATGCCTCTAAGACAGAGAATTGTCTTCAGGCCGATAAAATGCGGCCCAGAACAAAGTGCGACCATTTCTCTTTGTGGTCAACCGCCATTAACGTTTATTACACCCACCAAGTGCCGGCAAAAACCAAAGAGCACATGCACAAAAATAAACCCCCGAAAAACCCAGGGCAACCCAGGCAAAAACAGCAATGGGCGAAAAAATATAATTAAAAATAAACATTACGCGGCGACAGACAATGGGTGGAAAAACCAAGGAAAATTCACAATCCAAAAGCAGTGCGAGCAAAAAAAGCAAAGAAATGTGTAATAAAATAAGAGCAAGAGCCAGGTGAAAATTGCATTAGTCCGAAGGAGAGAGATATATTAGAGGAATCGGGGTCCTTGTGCAGCAGCATTTTAGGCGCTTAATTGAGCGTTTTAGTTATGCTAATTATTTGGCAGCAACAAGGACCACAAACACAGGCTAATGGCCCAGTGCGAGATGTCCTTTTCGGATCCCCAATTTCAGCACACATTTATTGTGGGCCATTTGTTATAAGTGGAGAGCCAGGGATCATTAAAGCAAGGGGCTAGTGGACTTTTTTTTGCCTTGAGAAACTGACAAATGTGATACCATTTGTTATGTTATTGTGCAGAAAAAGAAAGATGATAGAGTTTCAGAGGAAAGTCTTGTTAAGGTAACAATTAAGTGGTGATTTGGGAAACAAACAATTTATTTTTTGTATTATTACATGGTTGAATTAAATAACCTAAACGGGGAGAATAGCTATTGAAAGGTAGTCCGCTTTATTAATCCTCAAATCATTAAATAAAACAGCCTGTTTATTTTCCTCGCTTTGGTTTTTTATTTTGATTATCTACCGTAAATTCTTATATCATACATATTTCGATCTTTTTGGTTTTCGTTTCATTTATATAATATATACAAGTACAATACATATATACTTTGACATATATAGGCTGTATTTAGACTTAGAATCTAATTGCTTACTTTTGCCTTACATTTGTTTTTAAGGGGGTTTTCTTTGAGGGCAAATACATTTAGGCGTATATATACTTTTAGTTTTACATAGAACATATACATATATATAAATATCTTTTATACGATGTATAAATAATCTTTACCTTGATATATAAATATAAATGTATAGAGAACCTAAAATTAAAAGCTTAGCACAACATTTTTCATTTGCTTTGTGAAATGAACTTGTGAGTTGGCGGAGAGGTTTTAAAATGGGTTCACAATTTCCAAAAGATTGCATGAAATTCGGAAAAGTTTTCTAAATAACAAACCCCTTAACCAACTCCGTTTTAGGAAAATTGAAACAATTATATATTGCTGCATTAATGATGAACTAGCGGCTTGCTTGTATTTCGCTTATGTCGATACATTGTCCTTGTATGCTTTGTATTCTTTCCTTAAATGCATTTGAAGTTACTTTGAGCTAGCTGAAACGAGTGTCTGGTGTGTTAGTGTAAATATTTTTAGATACATCCTGCAGTTGCTTCTGGGTCTTGGCCTTGGGCTGAACTCTCCCGCACATCCTCTAACTATAGCTGGACTCCACTCTACTGGCTACCCCCGCATCCCTTTTCCTCCCTGAAGTGTGGCACTGGCACTGGAGTTGCGTGACAATTGAATCATGTTAATTGCCTCATGTATCTGCTGTTGGTCCTGCCGCATTCGCATCCGCATTCGCATCCTTTCCAGCTGCATTTTGAGACCCGCAGGCAGGACTTGCGATGCCCCTTTGTTGCGCTGACCCGCATTCCAACGGCCCTTGTCCGCCGGATTGTGCACCTTCCGCTCGTGTTGCACGCTGCACCGCCGGCCTTTGTCATCGCCGTCACCGCCTGCAACGGCGACACTAATTGCCTGGCCAGCGTCCAGCTGAGCACCACCGCCACCAGCGATCCAACAGCCGCCCAGGATTGACTCGGACTCGGACGGCAGCTCGATGAGCCGGCACCGCGCCAGGCGGCTCCTCCGTCCTCCAATCCGCCGCCCTCGGTGCCGTCGTCTTCTTCGCCTGAGGGTACAAAATGAAAGAAAAAGTCTAGCGAGAAATAGAAAGAAATGCAGACAGAAATGCAGGCCATGTATTCGATGTATTCTGGTAGTTACTCCATTTAGCTACAGGCGAACTTGTGTAACTCAAACCATGTACTCTATGTTTTCTGGTTGTGCACTTTTTTCCCCATCTTCCTTAAAGACGAACCTGTGCAACCTTAACTACCAGTACCGGCTTTTTTACATGTATGACCAACGTTTTTATACCCCTGCAGAGGGTATTATAATATTATAACCTATATATTCTTCATCAGCATCACTAGAACAGTCGATCTAGCCATGTCCGTACATCCGTCGCAAACTAGTCTCTCAGTTTTAAAGTTCTATGCATGAAACATTCTTAAAAGTTGTCTCTCTATTGCCAGGTAGTACATAAGTCGGACCGAGCTGGATGGGACAACTATAGCATATAGCTATTATAGGAACAATCGGAAAAATAAATATAAAAATTATAACTTTGCTGTTTTAAAGTTAAAGTTTCAATTTCATAAAAATCGGACGACTTTATCAAGGAACTCCCATAGAAACAATCAAAATGGTTAAAAAAATAAATACAAATAAAATTAACTTCTCTATTTATTAATTTTTTGTAAAAATGAGATGAGTTTGAGTTACCCAACTTCGGCTGTAATACTATCTTTTAACTTCCTTCTAGTGCTTGTGTATTGTGAGTTTTGTGTTTAAAGATAATAATTGGCTGCTCAACTCACCCTGTAGCTGCGTTAAATAACTGTTCTTCTTGTTGTGGAAATTGTCCTCATGCAGTGCATATTGATCATAGAAATCGTCCGGATTAACATGATTGCCATTAGCCCCGTTGCCGTGTTTGGGAAAAAGATCCGTTTCGAGGACGATTTTCTCGGTGGTTTTCCAATAGACATCGTGCAACTGGGCACTGCAGCGGAGCTGGTGGATATAAAATGTTAATCCTTCCTAAAAATATGTATAGATTAACCAAGTTACCTTTAGTTTTCCATTTTCAAAGTGCTGTTCGGTGACCACAAAGTGAATACCCACAATTGCGGTTTCCATTTCGTTGCGGGCATCTCTCAGAACTTTGTGGTGACGCACAAGAGAGGGATTAACCTGGGTGAATGAAATTAATAATCATTAACAGGTCAAAATAGATACAAAGAATAAGGTCGTTAGATTATTTTCATGTTTTCCTTAAGGTGGTTGGCATCTATCCAAATTTGGTTAAATAGAAATAAGTACTTTGTACATTATCAATCCATTTAATTTTAATGATTAAGTGTAATTTCTGGAGATACTTAGCCTAAGGCCAATATTTTTACATTTCTTTCAAAAGGGCTATGGAAGGCTTTTCATAAATGAATTGGGAAAAGGAGAAAGCAGTTGCTTGTAGTTGTCTGGGCTTGGCATTTGAGACCCATTATCTTTGACGTTTTTTGCTTCTTGAAACTGTGACTTTGATTGACTGCATGACTGCCAATTAGTTTGCCCCATGCCCCAATTCCAAATTTAAAATCGACTCTACTAACGCTTTTTTGTGTGTCAAACTTTAGTGAGCTCACGTTTATTTAGCTGGTTTTGGCGGTATGTCTTTGTTGGCTTATTGTTTAAGCGCATTTTGTGGCCAGCGAGGGGGATGAGTGGGAAATAGTGAGGGCTTCGCACATCCAATCAACCGAGCGTGGCCAACTCAACTCGATTCGACAACTAGTTCAGCGGCGTTCGCTATTCGCTTTTCCATTCAACCATCGCCCCATTGTGGTCTGTGTAGGTGTGCGGCTTAACGTGTGTGTGTGAATGTGCTTCAAATATGTATGTGTGCACGAGTGTTAGTCTTGTTTTCCCACCGCATGTTACCCATTTTCCCGTTTCCGCTGTGGCTCTTATTATGCAGCACCAATAAGCATTGTTTGCCTTTGAGTGATGATCGGTGTTTCGCTCTACGCCATACCCATCCCTCTCACACCCTATTCTGATTGTTCAGGATATGTAAGCTAATTATTTAGTTTTGTTGTTATATTTTCCAAATGCTTCGCTTTGTTTTGTTTCGGTCGGAAAATCCAAATTTTAATAAATGCTTTAAAAGTCAATTTGCATTTCTAGAAACTTGATGACGTGCAAAATTATAAGCTTTATGAAAATATGCATTTTTTGGTAAACATTATAACATTACTGTTATCATGCGCCAAAACTATTGAATTTCCCAGGCCCGCCAATTTAATTATAATTATGTAGCAATATACATTTCAAAACGAAATCTCGTTTATATCATTTAAATTATCACGGGCCAACGTCCATAATCCATAGTTTATGAACAAATAAAATCTGCTAAGAGTGATAAGTTAATACATTAATTTCGACGATCTAATTTGTTTTTCCAATTCATTTCGTTAGCATTGTTTTAATATAACAGTTTATCCTCGGGTTTTGCTCTTTTAAACTCGTTTGCAATTGGGAAGGCGTTGTCCCCGACAAGTGTCAAAAATAATTGAGAAATGTAATATGCAAATTGTCCCCGACTCGAGAGTGTTTTCAGCTGGCTCTTAATTTTGCACATTTTCCAGGCCCATTTCCGTTTTGCCCAATTGCTGGGCTGTGGATAGGGATATGGATATGTATGGTTAGTTTGAAAAAAAATTACACCTAAAATTTGATGCTCCCTGCATGGGCGGCATAATGTAGGGTTATGCAAGGGGGCGTGTCACCATTGCGTTGATCTCTGCGAACGCGTGTGTTTTTCTGGTAATTACAGGGGGACCTTAACCCCTCCAAGCCCCCTCGCCAAAAAGCAGACGCATAAATTCCCGGCAGATGCCAACGCTTGAAAACAAGAAAATTGTGTTTGCATAATTTCGGGCGCATTCATTGGTGAAGGGGAGTGGGTTTTGGTTAAAAAGGGGGGAGGGGGGCGTAGGCACACTCACCTCTTCATTATTCACTGTCCATGTGAGATTGGCCGCCGGCCGCGAGTGTCGCGATGTGCAATTACCTCGCAATATGTCGCCGACCCGATATCGAGGACGTATTCCCGATATGAATGGCGCATTGTGCGGTGTTTCTGTAAGAAAAAACAGATGGAAAATAGGGGAAAAGAGATGGCATGAGTTCACTGGTAAATCGGATCGATTGTCACTATATTTTTGATACTCTGCGGCATACGAAAAACCAGAATCCGGCCTGAATTTCTGACCCAACCTGTCGTCCTGTCAATTGCGATTGCCAAGTGGGTGTGCGTCTCTGCGTGTGTCTGCGTGTGTCTGTGTGTGCAATCAATACCCGACGACTGTGTGAGTGTTTTGTGTGTGTCGAGACCCATTTCATAATTGAAATAATTACGAGTTCTCCAGGTTTACAAGGCTGGAATTTTAATTTCGAGCGAAGGACCCAAAGCCAATCTAAAAATTTGCAGTCGGACTCTGGCCTCAACACTTAACAAAAAAATGTCTCAATACTCAGTCTATTTTAAAGATAATTATTTCGTCAAATCAGTTATTCTTAAATCTGATTATGGTGGAGCCACAGAAAAAGAAAATGATTTGGACTTATTTTGATCTTATTTATTTTGAACTTAGTAATATTTAATTTTGTTTTGCTCAGCAAATGAATTTATCTATTTTTCTTATCAAAAAATAAATTCTTGAGAACATTGTTACATATTTTTACTGGAACATTTTTTTCAGTGCAGTACTCTCAGGCAGACTTTCTGCAAAAAGCTAATTTCTCCTGCTGTCTATTATCCTTGAAATTCAGATTGGAAATCGAAAGACACACATCCGCCTACATGAAACACATAAACATGAAATAGACACTTTCAAAAGTTTGTCAAGCCAATTTGAGCTCACCTACGTCAACATATCCTACCCAACCTACTCAACCTACCCGTCCACACAACCCACACAGTCAGTTCGGCAGTTTATTGACCGTCTTCATTGGCATTGGCTAAATGTTTGCTCCGAAGGCCTTCACTTTGTTTGCCGGCTTAAATGTCTCCATCTTTATCTCGTTTACCCTCAAATTTGTTTGTATTTTGTCTGCTTAACTGCCAAAACATTCGAACTTGGAGTTTATTTTTAAGTTTTATGTCCACAATCCACAATCCCCACACAAGTATTTCGAGCCGGGCTGGAAGGACTTTGATCCGGCCAATTGAATGCGACAGTTGGTCAAGTTGGCAAGTTTGTCTCTGTCTTTGACTCCGCCTCGGGCGAAGCTTAACTTTTCTGGCTCTTTTCGACAAGTGAAATACTCGAACTGAAAATTAATTTAGTTGGGCATTCAAATTTTTTGGAAGATCCAAATTGCTTAAATATCTGAACTCAAAAAGTTAAAGTTCCTACAGAAACTGTTTAATTAAATCCACCAGATTTCGTTCGCCTTCGCAGATGTAATCGGAAATGTTTCGTTACTTATATTTATGGGACTGCATTTTTTACTTACCAATAACTTCCAATTCTGCTGCCGCTATTAATGTATGAAATGAGGGCGCATCCGCCGATACTTCGCAACTGTATTTACCGGATGTAGCCATTGTTACCGCGTCGAGCACCACTTGGCTCTCGTTCGAGGACACGCGCTGCAAAAAAGTTAACAAAAACACAGGTGCTGTGAGTGGAGAATGAAATAAAATTGGGCATTTTTTTCTTACTGTCCAGAGCTTACATTTACCCATATTTATTTATACATATCGCTCTTGTTGGCCCGATGAAAACTTTCAACAAACGTATCTCGTACGATTACTTCCGGTTTCCATATATATTCTTTTTACACATATTTAATGGCGGCTTTTAATAATTAAGTTTTTTCTGGTCTCTGGAAACATATATACATATTTTCTTTATCCTTTCCTAAATAAATAATGCTTTTGTATGCCCGTTTATTAACAATGAATTGATTCACAAGAGCGGCAACTATCTTCTATGATTTCTATGCTCAAATATTTCTACTAATCTAAGTAAAAGCACTTGTATTGCAACAAATAGTTTTTTGATAGTTGTGAATTATATACAAATTTTGAAAATAGTAAATATTGCCTTTGAACTTTCCACACATCAAAAAATAAATTCGTTCCGTAGCATTTAAAACCGTTATCAACATTTTTGTAACCCTCTCGTATATTGTATATTGTATATTTCCGTTATTTCCTTGTTTTTTTCTCTATTGGAGGCAAACAATTCTATTCCCCAGCTATTTTCACCATTTTCAATATAAAGCATCTCTTCAAATGAAGGAAATTTTGTTTTCTGGTATTTTTTTGTCACATGAGTTGGAAACAGAAATTTGAATGAAAAATACGAATACACACAAAAGCAGTAAGCAAATAAATAAAATGCCAACGTGTTTCTTTATACGCCTGAATAATTTTCAAACCAATTTAAAAATGCCAATATTTATTTAAAAATATTGCAGGCTGCCACGAACGCGTTTTGGAACTACAAAAAAAGAAAGCTCAAGACACGAAAGGGAATCCAAAGGTTCAGCACACGTGTGCCTGCATGTGGGCTTCTGTTTTTCCGGCTTCTAACTGCCATGAAGCGGAAGTTAAAAACCGTGTTTTGATTTGATTGCGCATTGAAATTTCACATGTGTCTGCCCCCTCCTTGTTAACTGTAGCGTTTCGTTCGATTTGAATGCCCTGGAAATGCAAATGTTTTACATTGTTAAAGCCGCAACCCGTTTAGTTTAGTTTAATTTATTTGGCTTCGATTTTTTGCCTTGTTCATCCTCTCTTTTATTGGCTTTTCAAATGGCATGGGAAAACTAAAATAAAAATCTATGGCAATAATATAGTTTCCCACTTCAAATATATTGGAAAAGCTGGTGTGTTTTGATAACCAAATATAAAAGTGTGAGCTAGAACTGGCAAAAAAGTGATTCAATTAAATCAATCAGTTTTATAATAGTCTTAAATATAAATTAATAAATAATAAATGTGTAAATGTATAATGGTATAATTCAATAAATAACAGAAATTACAGATAATTTCATATTATTTTAAAAACGAATTGACATTGAATGCTTATAGAAATTAATTTTAGAAAATATACCTAATTTAAAAGCTTCTCTTAAAAAGTATATATAATGAGATCGTAATAAAGTTATGCTTATTATATAAAATGTTTAATTTTGAATATATTTTGATTTCAATATAATAGTTTTTCACTTACCCTCACTTTGACGCCTGGAAAGTGAAAGACCTTCATGGGCGGCGTCTCTTTGGGAGTGTACCGGTAGAATTCCCGCCTGCCCTTGTACCATTTCACCGAGTACAGGCTGTCATCCTCGATGTCGTAGAAGCATTTCAGAATGGCCTTCTCGCTGCGTCGCACCGCGTGTGGAATTCGTACCCGGACATCTTTCAGGGCCTCGGTCAGCTCTGAAATGAAACAATAACACGCAAAATCAGAAAAACAATCTTCCAACAATTATACTTAATTATTTAAAGCTGCCAAGCTTTCAGCGAAAAGGGACTGAACAAACAAGTCCCGTGGGCCGTGCCTAATAGAAATCAACTGAAGGCGATAAAAAAATCATCGCTTTTTGCATTTTTAATTCACTGTTTACTTTTATTTTATTATCAATTTAATTTTTTGCCGCCAATGTTTTGTCTCTTCGTTTTGGTTTACGGCGTTGTGCATAATTTATTACGCGCATTTTGTGTTTTATTATTTGGAGTTTTTATTAAATAAATCCCAAGCGGATTTTATTGACTCGACAATTCCCACGATATTTCAGATGTACTTATACCCTTTCGGGTGAGTCGCTTAGCTGAATTATGAACTGGGTAATAATAATTTGTACTTGAGTTTAATTTTACAACTAAGCAGGTAAATAAATAGTTGTTTTTCTTTTCTCACCGAAAAAATTTTAATTTAATGAATTCAAAATACCAATGTAAGAGCAATAAATCTTATATATTTTCAAAATTTGTAAGTAACATAGATTTACTTTGATTTAAGATATTTTTTTTCTTTGAAAGAGTAACTTTATATCGACCATTTCATATACAAAATTTTGGGCATTTTTAATATCTAGTCTGATCACGTATTGACATGGCTTTCGGCATGGTTTTATGCCACAAATCTCTAACTGACTGAACATTCACATACCAATATGCTCACACAGAGTCTCATCCACACTTATTTATAAATATACACATTTTGGGATATTTTTGACATTTGTACGTATGGCTGATTTCCCGTTTTATTGCCATGGCGTTTTCAGCTCCTGGCTTGGCATTATAAATCAGTTTATAGCGAGCAAAGGGCAAACATGGCCCATGTGTGCACAACCCGCTCCTTTCCACCTGTTTGCTTTTATTGTTTTTCCCCAATAAAATATGAATAAATTGTAGCCTGATTATGTGAGATGAAATTAAAAATGAATTTATCCTCTTGTCGTAAAAAATGTAACGCGGCTGAGAGAGGCCATCAAACATTTGTCACACATTTACAATTTGAGCAGGGTCGAAATTCTGGATTTTTCATGGCTGGCATAAGCGTTTGATGGAGATTAAATGTTTTATACGAGGTCCTTAGGGGTTTTATATTTTGTATGAATTTTAAAACCAATTATGTATTTGTAGGTCTGTTTGATTTTATGCATGTAGCACTTGTTTGAATAGCGATTTCCTTCACGGATGCCACAACTTGTAGTCATATCCAACCTGTCATAGCCCAAGGGCCACTTCATTTCGGAAAACTCTGCTATTTTCCAATGGCACTGCCCTTGAGACCCACTCCACCTATGTAGACAAGCAAAGCAGCCATTATAAAGCGATTTCCCCCGACTGCAACTCAATTCCCTTTCATTAGGTTAGACTTTCTAGTTGCTCCACTCTCATTTAGCGCCTTCTGCCGTCTGTGGCCTCCATTTCATGCCACACTAAATAGACAAGGTTGCAACAATCCGGCAGCAAATGAATGTCCAAACAAGCCAGCCGAGCACGACCGTGTGGGAGGTGCTTTGTAAATCCCATCAAATAACTGTAATTGCAAAGTTTTTACAGCCAGACACGAGGAGCACGCCTATGAGACCTCCTATCCCCGATCCTCCATTTCGCAAGGACAATGCACATGCAACCAAGCCATTTGTCGGGCTACAAGGGGGTACAAGGGGCGGAGGAGAAAGTCCCGAAGGACTACTCCGGTGGAGGCGGAACTACGTCCCCACAACGTGTGCAATAAATATGAATAACGAGCACAACGTGAGTGGCACACAAAGTAAAAACGAGACCGCACTCGACATCGCAGTGTGGCAGTGAAAAGGCAGATTCTGCAGGCCATCCCTGGCAATGGCCAACCATCCTGGCCAAAACCCCACGCTGCAAATCCTTGGAGAGCATCCAACCTCATTGTTGGCGACACGCGGCGGCAAATATTTGCCTCTGACGCTGCCTTTTGTTTAAATCTTGTTTATGCAACATGCATGGCATATATTAAGAAGTGCCGACCAGACTCCAGTACTCCGGAGTGTCAAGCAAATGTCCAGCAGCGCTCTGATTTACACCCGGCCATCGCCAGATGGGATGTGTGCTCCAAGTGTCGGTTCAGTTAACAGATTGCTCTGCGGCTTGGTTACTTTTGTGCAGCCCGAGGACCTTGGTTGGATTAGGCGACAGTGTATAATCGAATTGGGAAGTGGGTCAGGTTGTTTTACGGTGATTGTAGACTCATCTTTCGATTGGTATTAGATTATCGGACAAACTATCGATTCCGGGGTAAGTCCAGGAAATTATAGTTTTAAAATAAGATGTCTAGTTTTCCATTTAATAATAGCATTTTGCTTTTCAAATTTCCTAGTATTTGGTGTTATTCTTCATACTACATACTAGTTATTCAAGTTTCTTAGTCTATTTGCTTAAATGGAAATTTTTGAGTATAATATTCTGCATTTTCTTCTTTTAAATTGTTTTCGATTAGAGGTGTAAACAAATACTTAGTTAATTTAAAATATTTGTCACCCAATTGTTAAATGGTTTACATTATTTTAGCTTTGGTGTCGATTAAATACATGTTCTTAAGTTTGGTGACTCCTTTGGACAGGTGAACAAACCCTTGTTGAAAATAAATTAAATTTAGCTCTAAGCATAGCTTTTCGTAACTTATAATTGCTGAAATTATGACACTTTCTGTCAAAGCATATTTCGGAAACTCACAGAGCCAGCTAATTGAAAAGAGTAAAACTAGAAAGGAGCAAACTGAAAGTTTGGCCAGTACTATGACCTGAACTGGCACATAATTTCCATTCCACATGAACTCTCTGGCCAAGAGCAGCATTTGCCTGACTGACCACACAGTGTACACGAAGAAACTGGTGAGCAACTATGAGTTTCTTGGCCAAGTGGAAACTTTGCAAAGTACAAGTTTATGGAGCTTGGCCTTTGAGTTACACGTACACTGATGCAACAGATGGGCCGCTACTGCCAGCTGGCATTTTAATTTCTATTAGCAGGAAACTTACCCTCCAACCTCAACCCCCAGAATATCATAGAGGATGTCTGCTCCGCCAAATTCATCATAATTTGTGCTGACGCTAAAATGTAAAATCCCATTTCGCTGTAACCCAATACGATATCAGGCTTTTACTCCCACCAAACCCGGATCCCATCGACCACTATTAGTGTCTCGACAGTGTGCAGTCATTATTCAGTCAGATTTGACTGCCATCTGGGGTTATCAGCCTCCCGTTTCGAAACCGAGGGAGGTTTATTCAGGCGGACTTGACGCCATCGCGTCGGGGATCGCATCCTTCGCTCCTTCGCTCCATCGTCCTTTGGGGGTGGCTTGAAAAATTGTTGACAATTTCAGCTTAATGCATTTTTATGTCACTTCTTTTGGTTTAGCGAAAATGAATGCTCCTGCTGTTGTTTGTTTGTCCTGCACAAACACAGACCCACTCTGCCAACACATGAGCTGAAGGGAGGTCCTTGCATTCGCAGAGCCACACCACCGATTCTGACCAAGCCGGATAGCTGGAGCCATTCAACGTCAACATCCAGGACTCTGTCTGCGTCTGTGTCTGTCCTTTGTGTTGATTATGAAATTTAAGCACAAAAACCCGTGACAGTCTGGCCGCCCCCTTTATTTTTGTTTACGCTTAAAGAGTTTGCTTCTTGGTGTTTGGCTTTTAATGGCACATTTTCCACTTTTCGGTTGGCTTTTGGGGGATGCCACATTACAATTTAATGTTTTCCGTTCTGTAATTGCGAACAGATTCGTGAAATGGCGTAGAGAATGTGGACGCAAAGGGAACTGTTTCATTAATTTAGCTATATTCGTTAAAATGTTTAATCACTTAATAAGATTTATTTTATATGTAATTTCTTTTAATAACAAAAGTTCCGTAACTGTGCATTTAAAATCTTGAGAAATAAACAATTGAGGCAAAATCGGATAGACAATATCCAACAAGTTTTTAGGCACTTCTTCTTAACAGGGCACACCCAGAATCAACTTAACATCCTTGGCCATTTATTTAAAAACTAAATAAGACAAGCATCGCTAAATCGCCAACTAAGCTCATAAAATCCCACGAACAAGTGCCCGAGTGTAAAGCAACGTGGGAAATGTTCAAGTACGGGAAAAGGGAATGAAAGGAAACTAGATAGTTGGTTGAAAGGGAAGGGAGGATGCGAGGTGAAAGGCTATGAAAAAGTGCAAGGATCAAACACACTCGCACACACAAAGCTGGTCTAAATAATAAAAGAAAGTGGGAAAAGCTGAAATGCTGGCCTCCGGAATGAGCTGAAAAACGAGGGGACCAAGACCAAGCGTATCTTGTGGTGTCTGGTCTCCTTTTTAAACCTACTCCCCAAAAAACCCCCATCTACCGATTCTAATCTAACACTGGAAATTGTGCAGGAATTTGTTGCAATGAGCTTTTTATTATCCTTTTTCGATCTCACTTGTGTGTGTGAGGAGGGTGTGTAATACAAGGTTTTCTATTTTTTTTTTTTGGGTGATTTTTGCTCGCTTTTGCATTCATTTTCCGATGCGAGAGGTGAAAATTGCAGTGCCAGCGTGTTTTTCCTCGCACGGAGCACAGGTAGAAATTTATACTGTTACCTTGTTGCCACGCCCCCAACACACACACATACACACACACACACACACACACACTGTGTTGCGCCCAGACGTTCAAATTATTTAAGGATTTGTTAAATTTCCCCGGCTTTCTGTGCATTTTTTGTCCACCAGCAGCAACCTATTTTATTTTTTTACACAATTTGTCGTGGCAAGGCGGACAAAATGGGCCACACAAGTGTCTGTTAAATGGTCGTTTAGGCCGAGGGGAGTCCTCCAACCGAGGACTGGGTGGGTTCAAGGTTCCCTTTTTGCCTTTTCTATCGCGAAAAGAGCTGCTGACTTGTTGACC